TTTTCTATCTTTCCAAATATAAATAAAAATTATTGTTATCCCTTCTTCTTCTTCTTCCTTTTTTTTTTTTACAAAGCCAGATTGAAGTCTATATAGAGATAAATAGGTGTGAATTTTTTATACAAAAAAGAAAAAGAAAAATTTCAAGTTATGCCACTAACCAAGTTTTTGATAAGGTGTCGCGCTAAGTGGTCAGATCAAAAGTATTTGAGTTCGCCACTCCTGGTAGGCAGGGTGATCCGATCACTATGAAGGCTTTACAAGTTCGGGTAGGAAAGAATGTTATAAGAGGAGACTTATCCCATATAGTTGAATTCGGACGGAAAGTGAAATGGATAAACACCCATCCGTTACAACTAGTATTCTCTCGAAGCAACTATCTAATAGTTTAAACTTTTGATCAGATCACGAAATACTCACCCATTACAATTAGTATTTTCTTGGAACAACCATAATTAATAAATTCTCAAATTCAAATTACTAAAAAATTATTTAATTCAGCGTTTTAATACATATCTGAATTATTGGTTCGAATAAAAATCCAATTTTTTCAAATAAGATGATTTTTCATGATATTCTGATAATATACCACGTATGTATATTATTGCATGTATGTACATTGTATTTGTACTCTGTAATATACTCCAACTGACAGGGCGCGTGGGTGCGACAGACTCATGACGCCATGAATTTCCACCAAAACCCGGTCACGTCGTCTTTGGCAAGTTGATGTTGCTGAGCTGTTGATTTGCAACCACACATCGACACGTGGCAGCTTTCAGATTACCCGTAACAATATCAAAAGTGCAACTTGATCCCTATGGGTCCACCCGAGGATCTTTCACGATTTTGGGTTTTGCTTCTTGGTTGGAGATTCATCAATCAATTTGGCAACTTGACAAATTTTTTTATTATTTTTTCATAATCCTAAACTTTGTACTATTAATTTAACAATCCCATTATTCCTTAATACTACTTTTTTTGGTCAAAAGAAATCTTGATTAATTGTAGAAAAAATAAAATGTATGAGTTCATCCTAAGCCCCATTTTGACTCCATCAATCTAAAAAATAAATAAATAATGTGACCCCGCAACTTTAAATTTATTTTATTGTGATATGAAGGTCACCCTAATTCGAAATCGAAAATAACTTTTTTTATATAAAGAAAAGTTTGCGTACATCTGAATCATTCCAAACCGAATAAGAACAGATAAAATATTATTTTTTATTATAAATTTGTGGGGATGTAGCTCACAAATCAACGTTGCACACCCCCATGTTTCCCGTTAGGCTCGAGCCCAGTATCCATATGGCGTACCTTACGCAAGTTGAACTTGACTTGAGTGCTACCATATGTTTTGACAACAGTGCTCACACGAAGGTACTCGAGGTCCAAGGGCGAATCCAGGAATTGTCAAGAGGGGGGCTAAGCGAAAAAAAAATTTTAATAGGATAATTGAATCTTAAGGGGATCGAAAGATGAAAAAGTTGAAAATTTTAAAGGAAATACGATTAGACTTTGGAGGGAGAGGGGTTAGGTCACATAGAAGATTAGGGGAGCTTTCTGATGTATGCTCTAGCTCTTAATCGAGCTTTGGTGATTGTTTAGGCCTTGTTTGTCTTGGGCCTATTTGGTTGGGCTTTGTTTTAAAATTGTAGCTTAAATCTTGGACTTATTTGGATGGGTTAATATTTAGGAGGGCTAATACTACTACTAAATTTTTTTTTTTTTTAGAATTGGACTAAATTTAGCATTTTTAAAAATAAAATAAAATAAAATAAAATTTTGGGGAGGGGGGGCTCAAGCCCACCCAAGCCCCCCTCTGTGTTTGCCTGTGTCGAGGTCCCTCCGAGCATCATAGACTGATTAGAGGGCCCCACGACCTATATTTTATTTAGGCTTAGTCAAGAGGATGATGAATTCAGGTGCTTCGACTGTAACACTGATAATCACATTAATTGTTCTCAGCTACTGCTACGTTTGAAAAAAAATGTGCATTTAATGCAAAAACACTCACCCTCGAGCCTAAGGACCAAAATGACCCTACAGACCTTATAGGGTCACGATGGCTTAGCAGGAGGGATATAGGCATTGAGTTTGACCCTCGAGAATAAAGCGAAGGTCAGGGAGTATAAAAGAAATCCTTCATGCACAAAGAAGAGGGAGAAACAAAATAAAGGACCGGAGATGCATCTCTTTCTCTCTTTCTGGCTAAGGCTATTGTTCATCTTTCATCATATTTTGTATTTAGATATCACCCCTTATTACTTTTAATAATCATTGTAATAAAGGACCCTTACAAAAATAATATATTATTAGTTTTTTACCATGGAAGTTCAAAGTTCATATTCATACTTCAAGTCACTAATTTGTTTTTTCCCTATCATTTCCATTAAATTTCTTCTTGTTTCTAATGAATAAGGAAATTTGATAGCATGGAAGTTAGAAGGGATAGGGGGTATGTTTGAAGAAAAGAATGATTCTCTTTCTTACGCTATGGATTTACTTGAATTAGATGTAGAAGAGCAAGAAAAGGGAATTTTTAGTGAATGATTTATAATTGTTGTACGTGCAAATTGTGTAAAGTTTTTGAAATTCTTACCACTAAGAATTGGAAAGATACTTTTATTTTCACTTATATTTAATGGAATTAAAAATATTAGGACAATGAAAGAAAAGAAATGCTTGATAATGTTCCATAAGACTAATTTTTGTGCATAAAAGAATAATTTTAAATTAAAAATTCATTAGGTTATTGGCTCTCTAAAAGCACTCAATCTTCTTCGTGTATGATGTACCATTTCAACCTCATATAATGAGAATGGGAGGTAAATAAGAATTTTTTTAATACGTTGCAAATTGTCATCGGACTCAAAAATTAAAAGACTGAATTTAACTCTTATGTCTTCTAATGAATAGATGCTTGTCATTTGAGTCGAAAAGTTAAATTGTTAGGTGATATAATCTAACAAACTTATAAATTCAAGATTCTCCTCATCAAAATTGAATGCGAGACAATAACTTCTAATAACTTCCCAATTAAAAAAGTACTAAACGAAGTTTAAAGAGCTACTAGTAGCCTCTGAAGTCGACTTTGAATGCCTGAGAAAGGTAAGTAAGAAGGCCAGACCAAGTGGTGTGTCATCTAAATAGATTGAATGAAATAACTCTTGGACCTTGTTTTATTTATTTATTTATTTTTCTTCTTAAAATTGTACAAGAAAATAAAGTTAAGAAAAATAAATATTCACACTCTACACTTCCCTTGTACTGATGTTTTTCTTTTAAAATGCATTCTTACGCTATACTTTTATTATTAATTTTAACATTTTACTTATTAAAGAAAACCCGAACATATAGTAAGTGTATAAAAATGAAGAGGCAATTATATTAAAAAATATACTCTTAGGTTATGTTTGGTGTAGTGAGGAGAGAAAAAAAAGAAGAAGAGAAAATAAAGAAAATGATAGTGTTAATTGTTTGGTTGATTAATAAATCATATTTGGGAAAGAAAATAAACTATTTTAATAAATTTACAATCATACTATTTTTCATAGAAATTTTCTTTTATTAAAATAAGGGCAAATTTGGTATTAAAAAAATTTCATTAATAATATTAGCCTCAGTTTCCATTTTTTTTCATTTTTAAAAAGATAACAAAAGTTACCATTCATGTCTTATTTTATCCCTCCAAATTCTTCTTTTTCCTTTTCTTTCAATATTTCTTACCAAAGATATATATTTTTATTTTCTTCCATTACCAACTAACCATTCTTTTCTTATCTTTTCCTTCCATTTCTATTCTACCAAACAGATCCTTCGAGGACTTTATGGTATAAAAAATTAACCCTTTTTTCTTTATGTGTTTTTTATCTCGTATGTCAAACAATAGTGGGACATCACCATTCCTCTCCTATGCCCCATGCCAATTAATTTTTTTGAAGACAGCAGTGGCCCTAAATTGTTCCCTATTGCTTTTTCATTATTTTCATTTGGTATTCGGTGAAAAATACGTACAGTGGGCCTTTATTTCAATATTATATAACCACTCTTTCTTATGAGCTGATAAGCTTGACCTCTATAGTGAATAATTATGAATTATGTGAAAGTACTTATCAAATGAATAGTAAAATTAATTATATTTACCTTTTTTTAAAATTTATCAATATTTATATAAATCCTTTCATGTTTTATAACTTGACTTACCTCTGCTACGAAATTTTAATTTACATAACAGATTCTCTTTTTTAACCATTTTACCTTTTTAATATTTGAAATAATAGTAACAAAATTGTAAAAAATTCAATGACATGAAAGATAATTGAAATTATAAAGATAAAAGGAATTTATGTAGGATATTGACAAATTTTAAGATAAATAAATAAAATTAACCCCCAAACACATTTGGGTAATTTGGATGATTTATTTAATTTAAATTTTTTATAAAAAAAAAAACAAATTTATTGTATAGTAGTAATATTTTGAAAATTACCATCAAAATGGAAAGTATCCTGGTAAAAGGCCATATTCTCTAGCAGTCCACTTGTGCTGACATGCAGAGTATCAAATCCCACTTGCAACAAAATTTTCATATGCATCGATCAAAGAACAGGGACCTGGAACCAAACTCTAGCTCGAGACTCGAGGCTACTATCCACGTGTCAACCTCTCATGCAACGGGCTCGTCGCTCAGGGAGACAGCTATTACGTACATATATAGAGAGAGAGACTGCCTATACAGAGAGATAAAAACCCACATCCACGTGGCAATCTCAACCTCTTCCACATCTCACCAAACGACACGTCTCCTAACAGAACCCAATCCTATGACACCTTTAACAGAGGTTAGACGCTGGTTTCGGTTCGTCCGGAAACCAGGTTGTCAAAACCACGTGGGTGTGCAGAGGGGCTCTTCATGGTCGACACGTGTCGACACCTCTTTCGTTTACGTTTCGATGAAAAGGGCACTTTAGTCCTTTTAATAATTCTATCAAATTGAAGATCCTCCGCTTCCTACTTGCTTTTCCCTCTGTTTTCTTCTCTCTCTAACTCTGTCTCTCTCTCCTTCTTCTCTATCATGCCTTTCTCTGTTTCGCCGGCCATTTTTTTTCCCGAGAAAGTGTAGGAAAATCCGAAATTACATCCTCTGAGTTTCATGGGGATTTTGTTGAATTTTGTTTCAACTCAATGCAACATGGGAAACTCGTAAGTTTTTTGTGTTCTTCATTCAAAATCTGCAACTTTACTAGATTTTTCTGAGAAATTATTCTGGAAATTGACTTCCTAACAAAAATCAACCATCTGGGTATTTGAAATTTTGTTTCACCTCAATGCAACGTGTGAAACTCGTAAGATTATTTGTGTTGTTCGTTCAAAGTCTCCAACTTTACTAGATTTTCCTTCTTATTTTCCCGAGGGATTCTGCTGGAAATTGACTTCCTAACCAAAAACACCCATCTGGGTATTTCAAAATTTCACCAAATTTAGCTTTATTTGTGTAATAAATGGCGGAGGCTGAGGGAAAAAGGGAAACGAACCGTGTTTCTCTGCAGGTGAATAGTTTCCCGCGAGATCTAATACAAAAAATCATCGCTCGAAACCATTTTCCGGTGAAATTGGAGAAGCCAAGTCGTGAGGAGGTGGAGGAAGAAGATGTGGAGCTGAGTCTCGGGCTTTCGTTGAACGGTCGATTTGGGGTGGACCCAAATAGAGAGACGAAGCTAGTTCGCTCGTCGTCCATACCGGAGTTCATGATGGCGGAGAATAACTACACGGCGTGGGTTGCGGCGCCGGTGGCGGTGTATGCGCCGCTGGTGAGGACGTGTTCACTTCCTCCGGCGGGGACGGAGATGGAGACTGAGTGTCGGAAACGGAAGGAATTGCAGTCACTGAGACGCATGGAGGCGAAGAGGAAGAGAATAGAGAAGCTCAAGAATGTGAGGATGGTTCGAGATGAGTTGAATTTGGAAGAAAATATTGGACCTCAGAATTGTGGTAATGGAAATGGGGAGTTTTCGGTGCCTTCTGGGATGGGCAGTTGGGCTTCTGGAGCAACTGGAGGGGATGTGAGTGTTCCGGGGACGGAATCGAAACCCGAAAATGGGAACTGCTTGGAGGGTTCAATTGGATCAGGATCACAACGGAGTGGCTCTTCTGGGATTTCTGATTTTGAGTCTCAACCAATCAAAGGTATCAAACTCTGTTTAATCCTCATAATAAACTCTTTTGACTGACTGTTTAAAGAATAGATTGATTCATGTTGTGTTCTAGTTTGTATGTGAATATGGTCTAACTTCAGCTTAATTGTATACGTCTCGTGATTGCTTGTAACTTTTCTTTTTACATTTTTCATCATTCTGTTTTTTTTTTTTATCTTGCTGCTATAGTTTCAAAAGCTGATTAAAAACAACCCAAAAAAAGAAGAAGAAAAAGAAAAACGCGTTTGTGATTTTGTCTTTAGCTATGTAATGCACATGGTGTTTACTGATCGAGGAATTAATGGGTGATGTTGATTTAAGGATATCCATAAGGTTGCTACATTTGCTACATTGTGACTTGGAGATCACGGGATCAAAACCAGAAACAGTCTTTCCAGGTGGAGGGAAGATTGCGTATATCTAACCCTCCTAGATCCCGTAATAGCGGTAGCTGCACTGGGCTAGCCCTTAAAAGCTATAACTATTTTGCCCTAAAAGACCTGCCCACTTTCTGTGTATGCGGCTGCAACCCCATTATTTCACTTGAGCTTTTCAACTAAGATAAATTGATCAAATAGTTAGAGATATAGGTTTGGGGCTATTAGGAAAAGACCTTTTGATGGCAGGTCCTGCACCACTACATACAAACCCCTGTTCAGTTATACTGATAAAACATAAAACTTGTTACGATTTGATGCTTCTAGGCAAGACACTGTTTTTCATGAACTTGTTTGGTTCAGAGATGTAGAAATGAAGTGAAAATAGGTCATTGAAGCTTTACTTTACAGTGAGAAATGTATTCGGTTGGCATGGTCCATATGATGTATATGTGGATTGTGGACTGCGACCAACCTTAAGGTGTTGGGTTTTAGTCCAAAATGTGTATTGTTGCCTCAAGATTTGAATATGGTGAAGCCCTGTATTGGGATAAAAACCTCAGTGCTCCTGCACTGTGGAACTCGTGAAGGCATTGAATTTGCCAATCTACCTTAACCTAGTTAAAGAAGAAGAAATAGTATGGGTTTGGCTCAGCTAGAATCCAGTCAATTACTCTTTCTGTAAATCTTGTTTAAGTATCTTTGGATATTCTTTATATTTTCGTAATTCAGTCGTATTATTAAATCATTTTGGTACTAATAAATATACTGTGTTTTATTTTATATTTAACGTATGTGGTATAAGATTGATTGATCAGGTCAGACCGTGCAGTTCTAGCCGGCACAAATTTATTCTAAGCCAAATCAAATGGTTGGCATTTTCCTTTTTAGTGACTCGAATAAGGTTTATTTTTATTTATTTACTTTTTGGAAGTAGGACATAAGCCTGACCTTAAATTTAAGATTTAGTACTGCTGCAAGTGGGTGAAGATACATATGTATGCTTTACCTAGTAATATGCTTTATTGATGAAATTCATCCGTGGGGACTATTTTCCACTTCAGGGGGTGGGGGAAAGAATATTCTTACATGAGTAGTGTATATTTATGCTTTAATGAAAAGTTTGTGGACCTTGTGTGTGTGTGTATATTTGTTGCAGTAAAGATTATTTCTTAAAAAAAAAAACAGTACAAAATATAGGAAGATTCATTTCTCCGATGTGATGAGAGTTGTTGGAAACAACTTTTACCCAAGCTTCTGAGGAAATCATTTCTGTGTATCAACACAAAAATGAGCCATAATTACCACTGAACAAGTACTGAACAAGTCGTGCTGCCATTATAGAACTTAAAAATTATCTTGTTCCGCATGGTGATTGCTGTAACTTCAATTAATTTTCCCATGAAATGATTCCTGATTACGGGAGGCTAGAAAAGCAATATAGATTGTGCAGAGTAATTGTAATGTCATTCATTTTAATGTCAACCGGCAACTCATTCATGTGTTTATAACACACACTCTCTCTCATCCACAAGCACTGAATCTGTTACACAATAATCTCATTTCCAACATATTTCCATTCACAGTGAGGGTCATGAATGTTTTGAACAATCTGGAAGTTTATCTATTCCTTTTTGTGGTCTTACATTTTAGTTTCATTGCAGGAATGAACAAATACGGTGAAGCAAGAAGCCCAGCTAGTGTCCACTCTCTGCCGGAGCAGAATTCAGTACTCACTCCTGAAACAACCGAGAAGCCAGTTGAGGTTTTTGGAACTGCAGTGGGGAATCCATCTATGATAGCCAAAGCCACCGAAAAGGAAGCAAATGAAATGGTGAGGGGTGTGTCTGCAAACATGCCTTGCGTCTCTACAAGGGGACTTGGGCCCAATGGAAAGAGAATAGACGGTTTTCTTTACCAGTACCAGAAGGGAGAGGAGGTACGCATTGTTTGTGTTTGCCATGGAAGCACTCTCTCTCCTGCCGAGTTTGTCAAGCATGCTGGTGGTGGCGATGTGGATCATCCTCTGCGGCATATAGTTGTTAACCCTACTAATCTTGTGTAACTGTAGTGGCCCTGCAAACGCTACAAGAAATCGGACTTTTAATGACTTGTAGTGTTGAAAAACTATCTTTTGCTGAAGGAAAAGAAGTAATGGAAAAATCGACTTCAATCCTTTGCATTGTTAAAAAATTATCTCATCTTTCAGTAGACAAAGCTTTTGTATTTAAATCCTCTTGTTGGAAAGGCAAAAATGGTGGTAGAGCAGAAATTTGAGGACTAATTTTTTTGCCACCCCTCTTCAGATTTTATTAGATTCACTATTGAACTACAAGCATGTGGGAACTTTGACATAAATATGATGTAAACCAGACCTGTGATGACTTGTTTTAGGTAACAGCACTACAGCCGGTATTTTCTTTCTTGTTAGAGAATTTATAACTATGTTTCTACTTAGGTCTTTGGGAGAACTTATGTGCCTCTCTACTATTTAGAAACTAAGTATGCTCAATCTGTTAATTCCTCAATGAACTCTTTGGGTCCTGTTTCAATTTTATAAATGATCATATTTGATGTTGTAATTCATGTATTTTGGCATATTGACTGATATATCCAAACTTCAAATCTTAGATCTGGAACAAAGGGCCGAAGCTTAAGGTAGTTTTAGCCTTCCAAAGTAGAGTTCAAGTTCTCGTAAACATAAAGTGATTGTACTAGTTTATTGTCAAGGTAAAAATAATAATAGTAATAAAATTCTTAGATTTGGATAAGTTTTTTCTTGGTAATGCCGGCTGCAACTGATTGGCTTCTAGAATTTATATTAGAAATTAAATTATGCATTATTGATGAACTAGATAATCTAGTTTTTTATTTTTCATTATATTAAATTTGTCTTATAATTTTGTGGGATTATAGTTAGTTTGTCTTCAGTTTGGGAAAATAAAGGTTTGAAGTCTAATCTTTTTCGTATTAAAGTTTCTGTAATATTACGGAATTGAAATATTTTGATCCACACAAATTTCTTTGACCAAACTAATGAACATACAAGCACTTGACAACATGAAACCATGAGACAGAATTTGATTTTATGCATCAAATGGTACCTTTTACAAAAAGAAAGTCAATTATGAGTCAACAACAACACTTGTCACACATTTTAACAAACCAATTTCTTGTCAGTAATCACTAATCCATAAGATAGACCTATGACAAAAGGGACTAAAGTAACAAGCACACCACACACACAGTGTTGTAGCATCTGGGCAGGGACATGCCTTCCCAACAATGGACTATCATCTGTGTAATGCACTCAAGTGTTCCAGTAGACAACCAATGTGAGGTCAAATGAGCTACATACACCTTAATATTCTTCACAGTTTTTTGAGCATCTGAACTCCAAGCAACAACCTCAGCATTCGGACACATTCCCCAGAAACATTTCTATTTTTTTGGTATTATTAGAACAACAAATAGAAATGAGATGGCACGTGTACAACGCGGGAGACAAATTACCTGCATTCTTCTGCAGATTCATCAGTAAGCCCTCTAATCAGGGAAATGGCACCGGAAAATGGGAGTAAAGCTATATTACAATTTACATGTCGAATAGCTACAACATTCTGGACTCCTAAAAGACAGCCCTGTAAGAGAAATAACAGAATTTCCCCCGAGAGAGTGCAGCAGAGCACAAATTAAAGCTGGGCTTACACAATCCTAATGTTAATAAGTTGACGTCCGGTCTCATCAGATTAGCTAACACGATGGAGGTTGAAGTTGCTTCAGCCGTCGTACAACTTGCTTCATTGTAGGCCTGGTCGATAGAGAGTCAACGGTACAAACTACAGCCAAGTGCAACACTTCTACTAAATCATCATGGGGACCTGCTTCCCATAATCCTGCAGTGAAGAACTCTTTGGCACGGCCTTGTCTTAGGAGCATACATGCCCACGCGACAATATTGAAACCATTGCCATAGGAAGAGAATGAGGGATCCAGTGCTTTCTTGTCAGAGATCAACTCAAGCAGAACCACCCCATAACTGTAGACATCAGCCTTGTCGGAAACACGGCATGTCATGGCATATTCTGGGGCAACATACCCAAATGTTCCTGCCACACCTGTTGTGGCATGGGTTTCTGAAGTTCCCAGGAGCCTGGCCAATCCAAAGTCGGACAAATATGCATTGTAGTCATCATCCAACAGGATGTTGCTAGGTTTGACATCACGATGGAGAACACGAGGCACACACTGATCATGCAGGTAGGCAAGTGCACGAGCTATGTCCAAAGCAATCTTGTGCAGTATCCTCCAATCCACAACCCTTGTAGACCTTTCCTGAATGAATTTTTCCAAATTACCACCTGGCAAATAATTATATATAAGAAACATCTCCGTTTCACTGGCATGGTAACCTATCAAGGTCACAAGATTTGGATGGCGGAGCCTCCCTAGGGTTTTTATTTCTGCATCAAACTGTTGAACCCCTTGGAACCGCCCAACTGCAAGCCGCTTAATTGCCACTAACACTCCTGGAGTTATCTCAGCCTTATAAGTTGCCCCAAAACCTCCACTCCCAATGCAGTTGCTTGCATTGAAACTGCCTGTGGCCTGCACAACACTTTCAAATGTCAACGGAACCCCAATGTCAGTGAAGACTGTAACTTCCTTTCTGGTAGACGCGGATCTTCTGGACTTTGGTTTCCATCTTCTGGTGTAGAAGAAGAGGACAATGAGAGCAAGAAGAACTGACACAATGGCTGATGCAGATGTTATCGATGCAATCTCAATTGCATTAAAACCACTATTTCCACTTCTTGGGGTCGGACTTGTGATTGGAGAAACATAATTTTGCGAATCCCCAGCCCTCCCTTGTGGATCTGAAGATGGTGCTGTCAAGGAGAACATGCGGCAAGACCGCAAAAAGGGATTACCAAGGACACTACTGCATTTCATCAGATTACCATTCAATGGCAGCGGTCCAGACAAGTTATTGAAGGACACATTGAATGCTGAGAGCGTTGTCACATTTGCCAAACCAGAGGGGATCTGTCCCGACAGTTTATTGTTGTTCAGCAGAAGCACAGTCAGGTTCTTCAAATTCACAAAATTGTTTGGAATTTCACCGGATAGAGAGTTCGAAGAAAGTTCAAGCACTTCTAAAGAGAGCAACTGCCCCAAGGTCGTAGGTATTGAACCAGTAAGGTTGTTACCAGCCAAAGAAAGACACTTGAGACTGCTTATCCGGCCAAAGCTGCTTGGTACTGGACCTTGCAATAGGTTCCAACTCAAATTAATAGCAACAAGAGAAACCACATCCCCAAAGCTAGGAGGAATGGTCCCACTAATCTGATTGCCAGAGGCATCCAAAACCTTGAGAGACCTGCACATAGCACCAATATTTACAGGAATCTGACCAGATATTCTGTTGCTGCTGACATTAACAATCATTGCGCGCAATGCTTCACAATTCTCAAATAAATCTCCTGGAAATGGTCCGGTAAGTTTGTTTACAGCAGCAAGAAATGCATAAACAGTCTGCTGCCCTAATCTGTCATGTGCAAGCGGCACTGACTGGAAACCACCAGTAAAATTGTTACCACCAAAATTGTGAAATACGGCAAGACTACCACCATCACCAAAAAATGGCAAAGGAATGCCAACCTGAGTTCTATCCGCAAAATACGATAGATATGCAGATGATAAGTCATAAGGTTCAAAAGGATATCCACCAAAGGAAGGAACATGGGGGCAAGTGCTGTAATTGAATCTGGGGATTGAACCTGAAAGGAGATTCCCACTGACGTCAAATACAGTCATACAAGGAACCGGAAGTTCCTCAAGCAGTTCGCCTGTCAGCATGTTCGAGCTCAAGTCAAGAAAATGCAGCTTCTTGCAGCGACTGAACCCTTCAGATATTTCTCCATTAAAAAGATTCTGGGCAAAGTTTACCATCTCTAAGTTGTCACAAACACCCCCTATGCTAGGCAATTTCCCCTCCAGAGTTGCCCTCGGCGCCCAAATTACTCTGAGCTCCGGAAGATTCATAATTTCCTCAGGGATTGCACCTTGAAAGTAATTAAATTCCTCATTAGTAGAACTGGATTGCCCCAGTGAGGAATTCCCCTCTGAATTAGTAACCTTGGGAAGAGGATCGAGTAAATTTGAGAAGACAATGACAGATAATTTAGAGCAATTTCCAAGCTCAGGAGGTATTGAACCACTAAGGCTGTTCCTTGAAATATCCAACACTTCAAGCTTCTTCAGCTGACCAAGTTCAACAGGAATGAGCTCTTCCAGCATATTTGAATACAACAACAGCGACCGCAACCCACTACAGTTACCCAAACTACTCGGAATCCCACCAACCAAGAAATTCCCTGAAAGCTGTAGATGCTCAAGCTTCCCACAATTGTCCCCAATCTCATTCGGAACTGACCCACTAAGCCGATTAAATGACAAGTAAAGCCCCCTCAAATCTCTAAACCCACCAAGAAACCCCGGAATCGAGCCATTAAGTTGATTCCCAGCCAAATTTAAGACTTGTAAACTCATACAATCCGACAGAGAATGTGGTATCTCCCTAGAAATCTCATTAAAACCCAAATTAAGAACCCTCAAATTCCTTAAACCCCCGAAATGAGACGGGAGAGACCCAGTAACGGAATTCCCTTCCAGATCGAGAACTTCCAACTTTTCCATACCCCATATCTCAATAGGTATTTCACCACTCAAATCATTGAAAGGTAAAGATAGAACCTTTAGTTCTGTAAGCTTTGCAATTTCAGGGGGAAGAACACCCACTAATTTGACATTACTACTCACACAAGTTCTCCTAATCTCAGACCCATATAATGGAAATTGAGCATATTTAGCGCAAGAGAAAGAACCCGAATTACCTCCGCCGCCGCCTCCACCGGTGATGTTGAGGGCCAAAACCCTAGAATTTGAATCGCAGGTGACGCCGAACCACGAACAGTGATCAGAATTGCTCGAATTCCAGCTCGCGAGCACTCCGGAAGGGTCAGAGACTGAGCTCTTCAGCTGCAAGAGCGCCGATTTGTCCGAATCGGCACCGAGAACAACGTCGGCGTGAGCTAAGGAGAAGACCCAAACGAGAAGGAACACTTGCAAGGGTTTGTGGAGATGGTACCATTTGATCACAGAAGAACAGCGACCCATTACTGAAACCCTATAAATGAACAAAATATTCAACAAAAGCCCCCACCTTTGTCTCTCCCAAGTCAGTTGCAGGAGTGGGTTTTTTTGTGTGCAAAAAACCCTAACCCTAATCTGGGTTCTGCTGAACAAAGGTAGAGAGAGAAAGAGGAGGAGGAGACGAGGAGAGAGAGAGATTCAACTGTTGTTCTTTGAGAAAACGCGTTGTTGTTGTTTTAATTTCATTTTTGTCTTTTTTTTTTTTTTTTTTTTTTTTTTTCTTTTTCTTTTTCTCTTGTACTCTTAATATTGTATTTACTACTTCTCTGTTGTGGTTTCAAGTGATTTTTCTCTTTTTTTGTTGTGGTGTGTTGTGTGGTGGGTCCATTGAACATACTTTTGTGAACTGTGGGGACCACTGCAGGTCAATTGACATCAGCCCGTCAATGCTTACCGGTTCTACCGGGTTGGGCGGTTCAATGGTCTAGATGTCCATTCAAAGTTGACTCGTTTGAACTATTCATTTAAAGAGAGGGAAAGTAAAAACTAGAGGCATAATTTCACTGATACTCCCAGTAGTTTGGTCAAATATCAGTCTAAAATATCTTTCGAAAATAACTATTACTTAGGTCCATTTTTACTTGCCTCCGTTAAAAACATGGGAAAAGACATATTTACCCCTAATTTTTTAATCACATTTAATATAAAATATCAAATAAGGTAAATGACTTTTATACCCCTTATATCTCTATCTATAAGGACGTCCTCTCTCCTCAAGGAGGATTGTCTGTCTCTCTCTCTTCTCTACAGATCAAAACCACTCTCTCTCTTCTCTACAGATGCGACCCACAGATTAACAAAATCATGAAATCCTAAAGTATAAAGATTAAGCTTTGGATCACCAAGGCTGCACAAGAACGAGTACTGCTCAAGGCACATCAATGATTTACTAGATACAGGACAACCCACAAGACTGCGATAGAGGTCAGCTAGATTTTCCACAAAATCAACGAATTTGAGGTAAGAATCTATGGGTAGCTCATGAAGGTTAGTTGTGGGGAGTCCATAATGAAGAAGATGTTCGGCCATTGACACTGAATTGGTGTCATTAGAATTCGATAAAATGGAATTGATAGTCAGGTTGCCTTGCCGGTGGTGGTGGTTGAGCTTGTCGGCGCAGCCACTGGCGGTGGTACTACCAGCGGTGGAGGTATCTGGGGAGCTTAAAGCGTGGACTTGGGTGGTCTTACAACGGTGTCTGATATTGAGACCGCGCATGGTATCAATTAAAGTAGTGTGTATTGACGGATGAGATTTTCAAACCTTGATTTGGAAATGGGTTTTTTCAATTGATCTCCATTATCAGTTGAAAAAGACATGAATCGAACAGGATTGTAAATCAAACGGTTGATTGATTAGCTCCGACTCGAACAGGATTGTAAATCAAACGGTTGATTGATTAGCTCCGACTCGCTAACACCATCATTAGAGAGAGAGAAAGAGTTTCTGGCTAAAGCCTAAAGACTCTGCTTTGGTTTTCTTTCTTTTGTAAGCATTGATGCAGAACATATCGCCGGTGTTTATGGAGCTTAGCAGCATGGTGGTATGACGGAGGAGAGGACACGATGTATACATATATATATGTATACATATATATATATATAAGAAGCAACAAAGTTATATAAGGAGTAATTTAATTTGTAGAGTTCCAGTAATTCTTTATCCACGCAATCCTTGTTGAAATTCTGGCAATCGTCGCCCACTTTTTCCCCGAACCTGGCCTGTGGATACATAGTGCTTCACCTCCGGCGAGAGCTGATTACATATGGTTTATTGTATATGAATTTTTGTATTATTATTATTATTATTATTATTATTATTATTTTGGTAATTAATCAATTTTGGGAAAACCAAACCCATTAATTGTTTCTTTCAATTTATTAATCAGGGTATTTACAAATTGATTTGGGAATTTAGTATTGGAGTTTATGGCACCAATAAGTTATGTATAGAAAGTGTATATGTTGTTGTGTAAGAGAGAGAGAGACGAAGATGAATTAGACAGATGAAGAAAAAAAAAATTTAAATATAAATATAAAGTGATAGAAATAGACTTCAATTCACATGCTTTACAATAAAAAGCAGGGTTTTTGTTGTCCAAAAAATATGAGGACAAGCCTATATATATATATATATATATATATATATCTGAAATGGTGGAATATATGAATGGGTGATTGATCGTAGAATCGGACACTTGTAAAAAATTTCTTATTTTTCTCTCTCTTTTTAAATTTCATTAATTTCTTTAAAAAAATAAAATTTTCTTATTAAAAAAATATATGAATGGGTGATTTTTCTTATTTTAGTTTTTAAAATTTTTCTTATTTTTCTCTTTTTAAATTTCATTAATTTCCTTACAAAAATAAAATTTTCTTACTTAAAATTTCATTAATTTCCTTAAAAAAATATATGAATGGGTGATTTTTCTTATTTTAGTTTTTAAAATTTTTCTTATTTTTCTCTTTCTTTTTTTAAATTTCATTAATTTCCTTAAAAAAATAAAATTTTCTTACTTAAAATTTCATTAATTTCCTTAAAAAAAATATAGAACCGAATACATGTATGGCGTATAATAGCCCTCAATAGCAAACTGTATGATGTTGATCACCTACTTTATTTATTCTTGTATATGGAAAAAGAAGGGTAAACATATCATTTAAATAGTCAACCTAAAGTCAAATGAGGGTAAACATGTAATTTTAATCATTAAAGAAACAATTTATTAGATCAAACCAAAGTCAAAGGATAAGAATGTCTTTTTACATGTAAAAAGTGATCTGATACACCTGTCAACTAACTTTTGGGGTGTGAGTGAAAAACGGAGCAAACGTTTGTAATATGAGTGATAGTTATTTTCGAAAAATGTTTTAGACTGATATTTGGCCAAACTACTGGGGGTGTCAGTGAAATTATCCCAAAACTAAAAATGGTTCCCAAGTATACTGGGCTAGCTGATGGCCCAAGAATTTGTAAAACCAACAACCCTGTTCCAAACCCAACCCGGTGAGCCTAATTAGGACCCTTGGTCAACTTATTCGGGCTAGTTTTGGAGGTAGATATTCACACTCCCCTTTTAACCATTACACTCCACTCTAAAAATAAAATGACACGAGTGTTTATAATTCATAAACAGAAAAAACTAACTATTAAGATATATTTGTCATTTATGCTAGAAAAAAAAGACAAGAAAATAGTGTATTTGTTATCTCTCATTGTCTTTGTCATCTTTGCTTTGTTCTCATATGAATATGGAGTCGACCACATGAATTTTTTGTCTCATACTCGTCATATTTCTTACTATGTTACCATCTCACGTTATATTTGATCGCTTTTCCCGTCTCTTATCTTCTAGAAAAATTGAACTTCATCTTCTCACCTTTGCATATGTACCCAAACTCTTTGATGGGTGCTATACTTCATTTTTGCCTTACACTTTCATTTGTGAATTGTGACCTTGTTTCTTCTAGTCACTCCAACCATTTATCTCAGCATTCTCATTTCACTAAGGGTCTGTTTGGTTAGACAGAAAATTTTGTAGAAAGTGAAAGTGAAAGAAATGAAAATCAAGTTTCTATCATGCATTTAGTTAACAGGAAATATTTTGAAGAAAGTTGTAAGAAAATTTTGTTTTATTAGCTTGGATGGCATGAAAAGGAAAATAAAATGATTCTACTTACCGAAAATACCCTTTATAATTTTAAATAGTAAAAAAATAAATAAATTTATGTTTGATAAATATTATTTATACTTAATTATTTTTTTAGTAAAGAAATAGTGAAATATGGAATAAAATAGTATGTGATATCATAATACAATTTTTTTTGCTTTCTCCTCTCTCTCTATATATATTCACTTGTTCCTGTGTAAACTTGAATTCTCGATCTTTTATTTTTTAAGGAAAGAAAATAAGCTTTTGGTAGAGTGGACTATCAAAGTTCAAGTATTTATTTTCTCTTTATGTTAGTTTTAATTTTATTATTTATTTATAAATGATGTAACTGAATACTATATATCTAATTACAACTTTCTCACTAAGAAAATAAAGTCATAGACAGATTATGTAAACTATTTATGAATCATCAATTATTTATTTCAAGATAATGTTTGATGTTAGGTATGAAATAAATTATGTTAAAATAATGTTGACTAGTTTTCACCTAACACTCTTATTATCAAAAAATAGTTATGTATATATATAATAACTCTTAATCATTATCAATTATAGAAAAAAATATATATTTTACTTATTGAAGACATTTAAAAAAAAAAATGAAAAAAAAATAATTCAGTAATAAAAAGAAAAAATTAATTAATTTTGGATGCACATATAAAAAAATATAAACAATTTAATTAGTAATACATGATTTTATAAAAAACAATTTACAAAAGAAAAAAACTCTCCTTTTCAAAGAAGTCTATGTAATTAAGTAAAGAAAAAGAGAGACAACTAACATGGGTATAATAGGAAAGCAATATATAAAGTGCACAAGTTTTGCGAGAAAGTGAATTACCCTGTGTTTTTTGCACGAAAAGTTTTGAGGAAAATTTTCATATGCGAGAATCCTTCTTTCCCAAAAACTTTCACTTTCCCTTTAACCAAATTTTCAAAAAATTTAAATATTTTCCTTTTCTTTTCATTTATGTTTACTTGACGCTAACCAAACGGACCCTAACTGAAGTAGTTGTTCTCGTCTCGTTTTTTAAAGCTCAACACTATGATTTATAGATTTATAGAGCATAGTTAGTCTAATAATAGTCATATAGAATTTTCTATTTTATCCTATGTATGTGTTATTCTATTATTACATAAGATATCATTAGCTTGTCTCTGTTTTGTTCACCCCGATCTAATCCTACTAATTATGTCACAATCTCTCTCCATCCTACTATTTATAATCTCTCGTGGGATTGATATTCGCACTTCTTCCATAGCTACAGCTACGTACACACTTCGATTCAATTTTAATCCGAATGAATTTAAAAAGTGTTAAGCTCAATTTCATCCAAAAATTGAATTAGATTCGAATTGAGTTGAAAATGATTGATTTTATTTACATCATAATAAATAATTAAAAGGGTGGATAGTGGCACGGTATAAAATTTCGATAAAATTGTCCTATTGGAAACTTTGTGAACCTAGTAAACTATTATATTTTCTAAATATATTCTTAAATATTATCAATATTCTTGTGTATTGTTTTTGTATGTTTTGCCAGATAT